GAGGCTGCAGCCCCGCGGCAGGGGGCTGGAAGCGGCGCTGAGCAGAGCCCGGCCGCGCCCGGACACCTGATAGGGACACTACTCGGGCGGATTTGATTTAAATCGCGTCGATTGAAATGATTATTTAAACCACCATTTAAGTCGTTGGTTAGGACGCCTCGATTTCATAACTCATGGCAGAGGTTTGCAAAAAAAAAAAAAAAAGTTTTTATTTGCAAGTCTTTGGGCTCAGGCACCTGTCATCACCAGGCGTAGGGTAGTGCAGAGACTAAAAGTTCTCCTAGGTTGAAATGAAAATTCATATTTCACAGGAGCTGAAGGTGTGGAGCAGTTCATTTTGTGTAGAGGAGGCTCAGAGAAAAGTTGGAAAGTCACTTTTTCCTACAAAAAGTTCATTCTTGTTGTTTGGTACCCTCTATTCATTTAATTTAATTTCTTGAAACTTTGTACTTTTAGAGAAAGGTAAGGGCTTGACTGTGTACACAAACTTGCATAGGGACAAGTTGGTGGGTAATCAGTCAAGTGCTGTTCACAAGGGTGTTATCTCTGGAGATGACAAAACTCTCCCTATGTCTGAAGAAGGGTTTTTGTGTCCAAAAGCTTGCAAAGAACAATTTTTCCAACTATTTAATTGGCCTAATAAAAGATAACACATTTACCCCAAGAACCTTGTCTGCCTCTGATTTCTGCAGACAAATCCACAGTTTGGGAACCACAGGCGACTAGTGGGGGGGCACAGGTCCCCCCCCCCCGAGGTTGGCCCTTGACTTTGCACAGCTCAGGACAGGGCAGGTTTTTTTGCTGCGTGGGCCGACGGCATGTGGGGTGGGGAGGGTACTAAGCCAAGGCACAGAAGTATAGGAGTAGATATGGGGCTTTTGGCCCGCCCCTGGGCCCACCCACAAAGGAGGTCTGCTTATAGGCAGTGCTAGAGCCAAGGGGGCCGCTGTGCCCTTTTGTTGCCTTTCCTTCGAGATGGAATACACTTTGCTTGTGCATCCAGGATCGCTCCCTTGAGGAGCAGCCACTCATCCTGAACTCCCCTCCCCTTGAGGTCGTGGTCCCTGAGGGCCTCACCGACAAGCTTCCTGAGCTTGTCAAAGTTAGCTTTCCTGAAGTCGAGGACTTCTGTATTGCTGACTGACTTGCCAGCTTTACTGTGGACGGTGAAGGTGATCAGCTCGTGGTCACTGTCAGCCAGCTTCCCTTCGATCATTAGGTCACTGATAAGGTTGTCCCCTTTGCCAGTACCAGGTCGAGCAGTGCTTTGCCTCTCTTTGTCCCGTAGACTTCTTGCGTCAGATAGAGCTCATCCACGCGCATGAGAAAACTTTGTGACCATTCGGATATGGGGATATGGCTGAGTGCTCTTCCTATGAGATGTCCAGGTAGTTGAAGTCTCCCATGGCAGCCATGGATTGGGAGCGTGCGGCTGTCCCCTTTGCCAGTACCAGGTCGAGCAGTGCTTTGCCTCTCTTTGTCCCGTAGACTTCTTGCGTCAGATAGAGCTCATCCACGCGCATGAGAAAACTTTGTGACCATTCGGATATGGGGATATGGCTGAGTGCTCTTCCTATGAGATGTCCAGGTAGTTGAAGTCTCCCATGGCAGCCATGGATTGGGAGCGTGCGGCCGCGGCCAATTCCCTGGCGAACTCCTGGTCAAGTTCTTGATCCCGGGTTGGAGGTCTGTAGTAGACTCCCACCATTGTGTCACCTGTGCCGTGTTCCCCATGGATTTTAACTCGGAGGGTCTCCAGTCACTCACCTTGGGCGCCAGTGTTGGCTTGCGGGGATGCGTAGCTTTCCTTGACAGAGAGAGCTACACCCCCATCCTTTTTATCCACTTGATCTCTCCTGTACAAGGTATAGCCGTCTATACCTGTGGCCCAGATATGATGATATCTTTGAGCTTTAACGTATCTTAAATTAAAACTATAAAAGTTTACTTTTTAAAAAAAGCATCTTAACAAATGAATACAAATACGAATAAATCAAAAAAATTATTTAAATGAAAAATCTGATTTTAATCGTTGAGTTTTATCCACCCTGAAAACTCTGCCTGGAGACCTGAGCAGAGGATTGAGAGGAAAACGGCTTCACCCTCCCGTGGATGTGTCATGCCGCCCCACCCTGCTGCCAGGGCCTTCTTCCTGGCTGGTAGATGGCCAGTTTGGCCAGAGCCAGGAGGGGGTTGACCAGGAGGATCCAGGGCTGGGCAGACCCGTGGTATGACCTAGCAAATGGCTGTTCTTACCTTATTAACCAAACTCCACTGTCACGCTAGACATGGGGCTGCTTCACACCAATGGAAAGGGTGTCCTCAAAGTGCAAGTGTTTACCTAATTGTTTAGTTTAACAGGTGTTCAGCTTCCAAACTTACAGGCTAGTGATATTTGACTGGGGGGGTGAAGCTGTCATGGGTGTCTTGGCTGAGATCCTTTTGGGGTGCTGCACAGTGTGAGCGCTGTTGGGTGTGCACATACTAGTTACAAGATGAGCCCAGAGAGTTCAAATAGGCATCCAGAGTATCAAACAGAACCAGTCTGCCCTCCTTTGGGCTTCCTCAGTTCTTTGCCACAGAAGAGAACTGCTCCCTTGTTTTTCTGCACTCGAAAACATAGCATTTTCGAACATAGCACTCGAAAACAAGAGCTGGCATTTTTCCAAGGGCAGCCTCAAGTCTGTCTAGGGATCTTAAACCCAAAAAAGGTTTAGCGTTTCTGTTACATGTATTTTGCAGATGAAAAAAGTGAATCATAGTTTTTATTTACTTACTAGACAATTCATTTTTTTTTGTTTATGGCTTTGTTTCTAGGCTCCATTGGGCTAGAAACTAGAATTCATTCTAAAACTTAGTGGAACAGTATTTTTAAATTATTTTTGTTAATTGACTAAAACTTACTAAGCTTTCCATTCTCAATTAATGTATATAGGAAGTTCTGCTATGAAGAATGGTAATGATTTTGAATTAACGGATGATGAAAGTGAAACAAAGTATCTCTGCTGAAGTGAAATCAAAAGTGATCAAGGCAAAAAGATCTTTTGCACAAATTAAACTACTTCTGGAGGAAGCAGAGGCTAACCAGTCTCTAAAGTGCCAGCCACCCTACCCTATCTTGTGCCTGACTTCAGAATAACACAGTTTACTACGCCACTCAGAGTTTTGGAGGGGAGGCAAATATCATTTTTCAGTTACAAAGATTCCAGGTTATCTAGATAGTGAATACAGTATGTGTGAGAGAATGCTTTATTTATAAAGCTTGATATCAAATTTAGTTGGTGTCTTTCTAAATCTACATTTTACAAGCAGCATTTAACTCATTAAGTCTCATTGTTCCAACATATTTTTATTTCAATGCTCTTGACAGACTAGGACATTTAGTCCATAATGTAAGATATTCTCATAAATTTGAATACAAGTAGAGTGTTGTTTTTTTTCATTTAGTTTTTTAAAGTAATTTCGGTCCATCCTGACAGCCTAGGGTGAAGAGAGAGAATCCACTGAACCCCTTCTTGAAGATAAAATCTGAAGTAAAAAGATGCATGGGGGAGACGAGAAAGCAAAAGAATGTGAAGTTCTACATAAACACACATTATCTCTAGATGAAAAGACCCGGAAGGTTATGTTTAGCTCTTTTGGGCCAGTTGATGATGGCAGATATTGGGAAATGCACTATAAAGAATATACAGTAGGAGGTAGATCTCTACTTTGACCTATTAGAGACAGGTCAGTGACAGTCACTTACTTCTGCCTTGTTGCTTTGCACCTTGTTACATGTGAAGGTGATGCACCAAGTTAATGTCTGACATATAAGATAAAATGCCATTGCTGAATGCAAGTGAAAATTAGTTTGAGGATTTAGACCTGGTATTTACTAGACCTGTAGGCACTGCTGAAGCACAGAAGTTTAGGCATTGGGCTGAAATAGAGTACAATACCTGTAATCTCTTCAGCCAATGTAGCTCTGATAATACCTTTTGTGAACACTGTGTTTATTTACTGTTTAGGGATGGGGATAATTTAAACTGTATTACACCTTCTACAAAGCACTAAAATAATATTAGCTGTTGTCTAGTGGTTGAATAATACAAAAATAAAAGATGTGTTGAATCTGTTTTAATTATTTTGAGCATTCTAATTAAACAGAAAATGTTCAATATAAATTCTCAATTTAAAAATGAAAAATGAAGGTAGTCTAAATTCAACATGCAGTTCTTTTGCCATGACACTTTTATTCACTCAGAAAGCCTTCTGTTTTGATATGTAGAGTTTTTTAAAGGGGAACTTTGTCAACATAAGAATTTGTAAACGTGTATTTCACATAGTAACATTTTTATATCTCAAAGGGCTATCTTTCTTGTTTAGATGTATAGAAATTCAGTCAAGGAGCATATGACTTGTTCAGGGCTACTAAGGAATTAATTTTGGGGTTGGAGATAAGCAATTAGATGCTTGATTACATATCCCACGCTGAAACTGCTATTCCCCATATCCTGAGGTTTATTTTAATATATAGTTGTAGTATGCAGTAATAGCAATATTAACTTCAGTAATACAATTCAGTAATGTCCCTACACCATCACTTTGTGCTATAGACTATTGAAGGGAAGAGAGAATTCCCTTCACCTTTGCAGTACAGAAAATTATGATGTCTCTAAACATTCTTTCTGAGATGTTTAGTACCACAAATCAGTCCCTTAAAAAAAATTAAATTCTACTGAGACGTATTATTATTAAAGCTCCTGACTTCATACAAGAAACAGAGCCTTTTAGAAATCAGTATTGATCAGTTTCACTTATTTTAGAGGAGGCCTGTTTAAAAAATAAATTGGGAGCTTAAAACATAAGGGTCTGTATATCTATTCATTAAATCCTTTCTGTTTTGCTAGTGTATGAGCTTCCAGACCTCATAGGAGGCAAATGTCTGACATGTTTGATACTTAATTCTAAATTAATAGATATGTGAAATACCTGTATACCTAGCATTGCTGAGCTTTGTGTTTGGTTTTTTTAGTTTGTTTCAGAATGATGGTATACTCAATAAATGTGACCAACAGATCAACATAGGTACTGGCAGCAGTTGCTTCTATTGAGAATGTATCTTTTACTTTTCCATAAGCTTGATCACTGTTTGAAGAAGATTATATTCAGCCATGTCACAATAGTAGGAAACTGGATTTGATGATCCATGCAGTCCATTCCAGCACTTAAAATGTATATGTAACTCCATAATGGTCTGGTACCAATAGGACAGTGGGTTCTCTGGCAAAAGAAATTATGGGCTCATAGTGCTTATTTGCCTGGTATTCATACTTTTTCATACTGATTTAGCTATGGTCCCTTCCCTTCTATATATGTGATCTTTGCTGAATCCCAGCCTGATTAACAGTGGATTCTCAGTTGAATTACGAAGCTTTCTATACTCTGATGGTGGCTTAACTGTGTAGCATTATGTGAAAAGGCTTTTTCAGCATTTGCACTAGCATACAAAGGATTCTAGCTGCAGTATTTCTCCAGTATGGGAAATACTGGCTACATACATACCTTCAGTTAATATGGCAGTATTCTCTCAAGTTTCTTCTCTAGGTAGAAAAAATTACCCTGAGTTGCATGTACAGACATTCAAATGCTGAGGCGCTGAAGAGTGAAGAGCTTTCCGTGCTGACACTGCAGCTGCAGGGGCCCTGTACACTCATCTCCACATCCTGTATAGGCACCCTGAGTATGCCTGCATAGGGCAGCCCTGATTGGCTGACCCAAGCCACCCATAGTCAGCCTGTGTTTCCCTGAAACACAATGTGGGGATTGTGAAGATGGCATGTCCTGCTCCCTGCTGGAGCAACAGAGTCCAACAAGAGACACCGTCTCCTGGGAGAGAGGGGGAGAACTGGAGAACTATGTTTTTTTCTTAGAGAAGCCACAACATAGACAAACATTCACTCCCTCAGGAGAGACTCTCCTGGGAGTGATTTAACCCTGGTTCTTCCTGTGTTATTTTTCTCCTGGAGTGGCCATTTTTACTCTGGGAGAAAAAGCTTGAACATGCATAGACTCATGGCTTCTCCTGGAAAAGCAGTAACTGCCCCAGGAGAAACTGCATGTCTGTACAAGATCACTGTATGCCAGGGGTGGGCAGTTATTTCAGGTGGAGGGCTGCTTAATGAGTTTTGGTGAGCTGTCAAGGGTCACAAGCCTCACCCCTTGACAGGTGCCCCACCTCTTGGTTACCATCTTGGGACTAGAAGTCCAATCTCTAACCCCTGACCTTTTGCCACCGGAAGTCCCTCCCCTTGTCTAAGAAGTACTCCTTTTGGGAGGAAGGGTACTGCTATCTTGAAACTGAACCCCCCGCCCCCCATAGATTCATAGATGCTAGCGTCGGAAGGGACCTCAACACATCATTGAGTCCAACCCCCTGCCTAGTCAGGAAAGAGCGCTCAGCCTTCTCTTAAAGACCCCCAAAGTAAGGGGCTGCACCATCTCCCTAGGAAGCCCATTCCAAATATTGGCCACCCTTACCATGAAAAACTTTTTCCTGATATCTAGCCTAAATCTGCTCTCTGTTAGTTTGTGACTCAGGAGGCGCCCTGGTGAACAGAGCATCTCCGATCCCTTGCTGTGTCCCCCTAATGAATTTTTAGGTGGCCACAAGATCACCTCTCAGCCTTCTTGTGTGAGGCTGAAGAGGTCCAGGTCCCTCAGTCTCTCCTCATAGGGCTTGTCCTGTAAGCCCCTAACCATAGGAGCGGCTCTCCTCTGGACCCTCTTGAGTCTATCAACATCCTTCTTGAAGTACGGTGCCCAGAACTGAATGCAGCACTCCAACTGTGGTTTGACCAATGCTGCATAGAGGGGAAGCATCACCTCCCTAGTTCTATTTGTCATGCATCTGCTAAGCCTGGTCCCCAGAGCCCTGTAGTCACTCATGATATGGTCTGGACGACTCCTGGCAACATTATTTGTTCCCACATGGATGAGGAGCAGGGGGTAGTTGTTGGAGGGTCGAATGACATCAGGAATTCTTGCCGTGATGTCGCTTTTTTATTTAAATATATTTTTGTCCTGATTTACGTGTGCTTGCATAGTATATCTAGAGGCAATTGCGTAATAGCTCAAAATACAGTGCTTCTCTTGTATATTGTGTGTGGGAGGTAAGGAGATGTATGTGGGGTGGGTGTAGTTGGGGAGTGTATGGGGTGCGGGGTGTGGATATGATTGGTGGGTGTGGAGGGGTGTAGGGTATGTGGTTGGGATGGGGGCTGTGGGAGGGTGTGGGGTTATGGTAGGTGGGGTGGGAGAGAGAGAGAGATGGGGCTGGGCCTCTGGCTTCATCATGTGCGGCTCTTGTGGACTACGTGACCCTCACACGATGCAGCCAGGCCAACCCTGTGCCCAAGCTCTGTACTCCTGCCACCCCACCCCTGCTAGCCCCAGGGCACCAGCATGGGCTCCACACTCCTGTCCACCACTGCCACTCCCACTCTGCTTCCCTGTTTTCCCTCTTGCACACCTGCCTGCCACTGCTGCCACCACTTCCCAGCTGCCACTGCTCCCTGCACCTACTGCCGCTTCCAGCTGCCACTCCACTGCTCCGTCTGCCTACCACTGCTGCTTCCCACCCACCTGCCAGCTGCTTTGCCTCCAGCCCACCCCCGCCAGCACCACACGGTTCCTAGCTGCATGGGCTGATTGCAGCAGTTTACCTTCCTCCCTCTGTCTGATCTTATCTGACTTTCCATTTGGACTGAGGAAAGGTGGGGAACAGCCAAAGAGTCACCAGGCCAGAAGCTGCAGAGGCTTCCAACTGGGGGCGGGGGGGAGCCGGGCGGAGCTTGCTGCTCAGCTGCTGGGTCCTGCCACTGGCTCCCCCTGGGTCCTGCTGCTGCTGGTGCCTTGTCTTTTTTGACAGGCAGCCACATGCAGATAATAATTAATTTTCTAAATTTTTAGGGGCCTTGGGTAGAATGACCTGGAGGGCCAGATTTGGCTCGCAGGCCGTATTTTGCCTGCCCCTGCTGTATGCAGACCTGCCCAAACTTTACCTTTACTTGAATTGAATCATCTTTACGTTTTTTTTTTTTTTCCTTGTGTCTTCTAAGTCAGTGTTTCTTAACCTGTGGGTCATGACCCAAAAGTGGGTTGCAAGAATATATGAAAGGGTCATGAAAACAAACTTTAAAAATGGATTCTGCTTTAAAGGAGAAAAACATGGAAAACCATGTGTTTTCCCTTGCAGGCTGTAAGAGTTCCAGCCTGCAGGGAGCTGCTTTGGGCCCCTCCATTCCCCACTCATCCCACGCTGCCCCACATACCCACCCCTTACACCATACACTGTGGGGAGTGGGGCCTGGTGGCAGCGGGTCAGGAGCAAAGGACACTGACAGGGCCAGGGGGCTTTTTTGTACTTAAACTATTGACTGGGTCTGGACTGGCCATCGGTATTTATAAATGTGTCCTGGTACAAAAAAGGTTGAGAACCACTGTTCTAGGGATTGGTTTGGCTGGATATTGGTGAAAGGCTAGAATGGTGCCACAGGTATGGTTGTCTGAAAGTATTGGGGTAAGAAGCTTTGGTTAAGTTTATGCTGCTCAAAGAACTCTAGCTGTCTGATTAAGATGATCATTCTGCTCACATAGGGGCTGCTGTATGCACCTTTTATGTTTTTGCATCTATACTTAAAATGTTTTTTTTCCCCTATAACATAATTGAAACAGCCTTGAAAACCAGTTGTTCACAAAATGAGCTTATTTTGGCTGTGGTAATTCGTATTAATGTCACAAAATGTAACACAGAGTTTACAAAGCTCCAGTGTTTGCAACATGCGCCTTTTGAGAAAATGCTTCATGTGATAACAAAGATATGACAGCATGACCTGAGGATGCTTTGTGGGGTGGAGGGGATGAATCTTATGAACCACAGCTCAGAATGTGAACATAACAAGTGCTCTGGGTAAATCCATGCTGCTTAGTGATGGTGCCAGGTAGGGCCAAACTGAGATGTGCTGTATTGCTCTGTACATGTTGCCTCCTAGCGGCATTAATGCAGTGCTGCGAAAGCACCAATTGACTGTCCCTCTTCAGTGCTTGCCAACACTCATGCAGTGCAGCACTAACGTGTGCCACTTTGCAGTAACACCACTGGGTAGTTAGACCCTCAGGCTGATTGTTCTAAATATCTGAATTATCAGTGCATTAGTATCACAAAAAATGGGATTTACCTAAAGAACCTTGCCCAAATATGTGGAGACAGCAAAGAGTAAGGAATATAACTGAATGCAACTGATAAAATTCATAACTGTAGAAGAGAGACTTAATGAGTTTCCCCTCATAGTCACAGGTTGAGATACTGTAGATTTTTCTGTTTCTACAGGAATTTGTTAATCTCCGCTGTGACATTTATGGTGGGAAGTGTAAGCCTTATCTTTTTCTTTTAGGTTGACAATTGCATTTTTCGCCCTCTCTGGTCTGGATATGTTGGATTCCTTAGATGTGGTGAACAAAGATGATATAATAGAATGGATTTATTCTCTGCAGGTCCTTCCCACAGAAGACAGTGAGTGAGTTTTTAGCTTTTTTATTGCCTTTAACACCTTTTGTTTTACTTCTAGCCCTTGGGAGTAATGCATGATTATTTACTTATAGATAGAACTTTTCAAAGGTACTGACTCCATCTAGCTCCCAGTAATTTAAAATGGGAGTTGAGAGTGCCAAGCAGTTATACAAATTTATATTAAAAATAGCCTTGTAAAAGAGAGCCTGACTCTTCTTAGACAAATCTATTTGTTTTAACTTCATAACGTTACAGGTATAAAATTACTCTGAAGCTGTAGAAAATGTAAAATTCCAAGTAAACTCTACCAAAAATAAATGGGCATAATAATGTCTTCCATTTAGTTAGTAGGAATTCTTAATTTTGCTTGTGGGTAGTTTGGTGGTTTACCATGTGCTTTCTTCATTCTTGAACCACCTGTATACATCTCTTTAAAGAGATTAATAGCTTATTCCTACAAGCAGAGCCATCCCTAGGGGTGTGTGTGGGGAGTGTGTGCGGGGCCCAAGGCATATCAGCCTGTGTGGGGCCCCGGGGG